AGTTCTCAATAACTTTACATGCAAATGTGACAATAGCTAAAGCATTTTAGCTTGAATTTGGAGAGAATTAATGGATTTTTGATCAGTTTGGGGTTATGGGTTTGTGAAAATTTAATATTCTTTGATTTTATGGGATTTTGATGACTTTTCAGGATTTTATAGAGAACAAATGATCGTGTGCCATATTTTTAAGTAATATTATTGCTTAAAAGGAGGCAAAAGTTGAAGAAAGACATAAAAATTCATCAAAAAACTTTTCGAGGTGAGAAAATTTCCAAAATGGCGGATAGAAAAATTTTGATCCTTAGTGTTGGTTCTTTGAATTGTAAAAATGAAAAGAGCTTAGAACTTTAATTCATGTCTTAAATAAGATCGTATTTATTATTTTCGCAGTGCTTTAATATTGTTTCTCTTAAGCAGACCGTGGTAATACTCAGTACAGCAACAATTGCAACTCTTTAACCTTTAATAACATTCATTAATTGCATTTCATTAATAATACTGTGAGACATTTCTTTCACACTTCTCGCCAGTCTTATTAATCTCTCACAAGTGCAATTTAGACATGAGCAATGCGCTCAGCAAGCACCGACCAACATCCAACTTCCTCACTCATAACTGCCATTGACAATAATAATTTTTAACAGCACATATTTTTCAAAATTAAGTGAAATCAATAATTTTTGGCGTTTCTTTATTTCCAATATGCATCAGGCAAATTTGGTAAACGACTTGTCATATATCGAGAAACAGAAAATAATTAATCAGCCAATTTTTATATTCAATTTGTGGCCTTCGTTGTGCTCAGTTTTGGATGTTTAAAAAAAATAAATAAAAATCGTGCTAGCTAGTTTGCTACCGAAAAAAGCGAGTTCCACAGAAAGAAACAACAAAATATAAAAATTCGCATTAAATTGATTCGCCATCTTTTTGCCATTGATGGACAGCTTGTTTTGCGTATTTTAAATGGTCAAAAGACACACAAAAATCATGATTTTATTGTATGAAGTTGTCGAAACCTGTATTTGAAGAGAGCAACAAGATGTATATTTTTTTTATATGAATAAATATTTGATACAGATCTCTGAAATAAAAATTATCATAAAAAAGCTGTGTGCTGTGTTGAAGGTAGATCAATGGTATCATCGCATTCCCCACTTCTGAATCGTATTGTCCCCCCACCACCAAACTTAATACAATTTTATTTCAGTTCCAACGATGAAGATGATTTTATTTTATTTTATTTTTTCTTTTCTAGTTGACTCGCTACTTTTTTCCACAAAAAAAATACACAAAAGCTTCGTATTTCCCATTGTCTTCTTTCTCCACTTCATAGCCACTTAAATCTTTTATTCAAACTAGCATCTCGCCTTCTTCTTCGCGCTTGCTCTCCGCTCATCCGAACTTTTGTTTGTGAAGCATGAATACACGAAGCAAAAAAGTAATAAAAAATCTTAAGCTATTAAGAGAGGAGAAAATGTTTGAAATTCCAAGCGGTATTTGATGAGGGGCTTAGGCGCATATTTGTGGATGTATGAAATTCTTGATGGTTCAAAGAATTTTAAAATTTAACGACTTTAGAAAATTTGAATTTTTTAAACGATTTTTTAAATTTGAAATATAAAAAAAAATTTCAACGGCTTTTTAAAGTTCATATTCTTAATGGCTTTTGATATTTTAAACTAGAAGCCTTGAAGTTCAATAACTAGTATCTTTAACTCAAAAGCTCAGCTTTGAGTTCAGCCCAGCTAGAAAACCTACCAGAAAGCTAGGTTACTTACCAGCCAACCAACCAACCTATCAAGTTGCACAATTAAACACCTCTTCTTTCTTAAAAATGAGCTATAAATTTTTTTATTTTTTGTTATAATATTTAAACATTTTTTATATGTTTCTCTGTTTCTTCAGTTTCTTAACCAATGATTTCATTTAACGTGACACATAGCCAATGAGAAAAAAATGTAAGTTTACAAAAAAAGAAAAATATGTTAAAGATTCAAGTAAGACTGTAGCTTGTGTGCTGAAATGTTCTTGTATCACAGAAATGGAATGAGAATTTCGATTCACGGAAGAGAATTTGACGATATGAATGCCTTTTTGATTCGAATTGACTCTCGACGAAGATTGGACTGTCATGCGAGCCATGCGAGCATATAAATGCTTACGAAAAAAAATTTGCAGTCACACAGAATGAGTAATTCACTTAATTTATGTTAGATTAGAGAGCAGATTAGCGTTAAATCATGACTAATAGATGGAATTGAAAATTTCTAGAATTTTTTCACGGCAATTTAAAATAAGAATTGAGTTATCGACTGTGTATCTGGAAATTGAGATCTTGGTGTCAATTTCAAAAAAACATTAATTTTCAATTCAAAATTCACTTCATTTCAATTTCATTACTAAATAAATTGTTCTGTTGACCGATCGTTAGGCTTACAGGATACATGTGTTTTAATTTTGCATAGTAATTTTTATTTTCTTGTAGAAATAACTTGCAAGAATGAATCATAAATGTCTGGGCATTTTAAGGTGATGGCATATTTAATATGCAATTTGAGGTGCTATATCACTTGTCTAATGTCTTCCTAGATATCGTTTAATGTAGTTTTCAAGAGTTTGCTTGTTTTTTGACAACGACATAGCTTTTAAAGAGTTATGACTGAAATCTTTCTTTATAATTTCATAAAATTCTCATTCGCAGTGTCTGTTCGTCAATAAGTTTGCTATCTTAAGTTGTATATTATTTCATAATTACCAAAAGCTAATGACAATTGAATGAAATAGAGATTGGACAAGCTAATGAACTTAAACTTTGTTGAACTGGTTTTAATGGGATTTGAACCATTTATTTAAATTCGACCTGTTTGACTTCATATGAAGTAAGAAATTTGTCCCACCGATGAGATCCGAACCCACGATCATTATGTGGTGTCAAATCAGTATCACATACAGTTGACTAATCTACTAAGCCACGAGTCAATTAAATTGCTTATTTTATATTCTGCTAAAATTGTATCTTAATCAGATATCCTGTCTGGTACCTGATGCTTAAAAATTAATTAAAAATCTATCGCAATCATCTTAAAAATCAAAATTCTCTATAATATTAAAATCAGCTTCTGTGCTTCTTAACTTTTTTACCAATTTAAAACTTTCCATAACCAGCATAATATTTTCAATTCTAAAAAAATCATTTAAATTTGTTCACATTTATCCAATCAATCAATTAGTGAGCATTTCACATCCATTTGTTCTTCTCATATTTAATTTCAAATTTCTCACAATATTTTTTCTATTTATTTCTATTTTGATATTTTTCTGCCTCGATTCCATGCTACAAATCTGAAAAGTCTATATTTTCTAGCTACAAATGAATCTCAATTTAATTATTAAAAGCCCTTTTATATCTTATTGAGTCCCATTGCATGTCTATCTTTAATAACAATCTCTTTTTATATTTTTCTTAACATCATGACAAGATTTTGTTTTTGTGTTAACTGATCACCACGGAATGCATATAGTTATGGCCGGACAGAATGGATATTAATTTATGATACTAAATGTCTATTAAAATAGCAAAAAAATACATTGTAGCCACCTGAAGGCATTTAACGACAATTTCATAATTTATATTTCACATTTTTCTTCATTTCTTCCATTAAAGAGGTTTTTTCTTGAGTGCATGCTTTGCTGGATAGCTTACACTTTAGGTAGGCACTTTGGGTATGGTAAACACATAATTTTGTTTAATTTTTGTGCTGAACGAAGTTAAGAATTGGAAAAATTCTAGCAAATTGAAAAACTTTTTGACAAAACACCTCTTCAACTCTGTCTACGTCCCTGACTAACTTCTCATACATTTAAAGTTGTAAAAGTGAATTTTATATATATTGACAATTTGCCAAGTTTAATGTCAAAGTCCGATAGCTTAATGGTTTGAGTTTTTGATGACAATCAAGTCGTACAAGGTTCGAATCCCACATGGGACAAACCATTGAGCAGAGTTGCGATCTGTCACAAAAAATTACGTTACTAACCTGTTAACAGGTCAATGCCAAAGGCAATGTCTGTGCCAGATCTGTCACCTGTACCTATGACAGTCGACTAATATTGCAACTCTGCATTGAATAAAATCAAAATATTTTAAAAAAATAATTCAAAACCCAAAGAAATCTTCTATTGAACAAAACTAAGAAACAATCCACGCCAGACCTCTTCATAAAAATACTCCATAGTCATCCACACACTCAATTACTTTTTTAACAAAATTTTTAATTTTTCATAGAAAAAACTAAAGTAAAATGACTGCCATGAAGACGAGAAAAAAGACATAGAAAAAGAGAAGAAGAGATTTTTTTATAGTGAAAAACAATTTAAATTTATACGAAATAGCCACTTCATTGTCATATTTAAAAGAGTATTATATATATATAACGACAAACGAGTGTCGAGAATTATGATGGAAAATATGAGAGATTTGTGTGCCTGCCTGTATATTTTCTCTCCTCTTCTTCTACTCTTGTACACGTTAAACAAAAATATAATTTTTTTATTCATTCAATTTTTTTTATTGTTCGGCTGTTCGGGTTTTTTTTCTCTCAACACTCGTTGCCTCTGTGTGTGCCGTTGTCTGTTGTATGTATGGATGATGTCGGGTTATTAACTAATTCTGTATTCTGTGCTTTTCAGTCGGCGAACAGAATTCAACGGGTTCAAATGATTACACATAATTTGTCGTTGGTGGATGAGTGAAAATAAAATTATTTATTTTTTTGGAACTGACAATTTCCACGGATGTAAAAGGATAATTGAAATTTATATTATTATTATTTTTGTTAAATAAATTAAGTACATAACAAAGTGAAATCGTTGCCATAATTTAAAAAAAAATGAATTTTTTGTGAAAAATAAAATTAAAATAATTAATTTAAATTAACATAAATAATTGATTGATATTAAGTGACAATTTAGTGCCATAAAATTGGATTTTTTTTTAAAAAAAAAAACATTTCAAGTGATAAATATAAAAATTGGAAAAATTGTGAGTATGCGCAATGCAGACGATAATTTTCATTGGTGAAAAATTGTGGAAAATATTTTTTCATTGGCTATAAAGTGCCAAGTTTATGTAAGATTTTAACGACAGGACAGATTACATAAAGCGCAAAAAGGGTTTTTTTTTGGATCATGAAATTTGATACTTTTTTAGACACTAAACAATGCACTGCACCGATCCGATCGTTCGCTAATGGAATACAAAGAGAATCTTCTTTTGTATTATGAAATATTGAGGGAGTGACAGGATATTGAAAATATTTTGAAATTTTGCCGATCGAATGAGAATTTTTTTTATTTGAAAAAAGGGTAGAAAAATAATTCTCAAATTGCAATAAAGTTTTTGAATTTTATAATAAACAACTCAATTTGTTACAATCAATTTAATGCGAAAATGTTTTTAATGCTGCATGTGAGTGGAATAGATATAAATTTGATTATGTTTATATCCTCTTAAAATAATTGAGTTATGGACTATCTTGATTTTAATTAAATAATTTTTTTGTGTATTTTCGGGGGTGTGCATTTTTGTGAAACTTAAAATTGACAACTTTATGTGGAATTTAATGCAATTTTTTTTTGTATTTTTCAAATCATTAAATCAATTAAAAACTTAAAAATCATTTATAAATTTCAAAATATTGTGATCGTTGTAAATTCAATTATTTTTATAACTTTCGTTTATTAAAAATTTAATGATCAATAAAAATCAGAGAATTCAAACTTTAAAATAATTAAATTTAAATCTTCAATTTTTCTTATTGCTTCTGCAGCATTTCCTAATTTTGTAAAATAACAAAACTATTTTCTCAGAAATAAAGTTTCAACCCTAGTTGTCCTAATAGACTCATTGATGACATTACTAAAAGGGGTTTTAAACTATGAGTAAAAGAAAGGATTGATAATATGTCGAATAAAAATATAAATGATATAAATAATACTAGGAGCGAAAAACTAAGAATCGATCTTGCTAAGAGTTCAAAGAAACAATAGTTCTTGCTTAAGAGCTATTTCTTAAACTAAGTTTAAAAGTTTTTCATGTGATATTCAAAAGAATGATTTCAAATTTAGCTAAATTGACTTTCTCCAAATTAGATCTTGATCATCTGAATAATTATGCCAAGAATTCAATTTAATTCTTTGAATTTTAAATTAGTGATTTAATAAGTGTAATAAATGAGTGATGAAAGCATTGCTACCAAATTATATTGACGAATAAATGAATTTATTGAAGAAAGTAAAACGCTTTTATTATTTAATTAACAATTTAACAAGATATCCTTCAACCAAAGAAAATCAAATGTAAATCATACAATTTCGAACATCGAAAATAAAGATTTCAGTTTAACGACTTCAAAAGTAAATTAGAAAGCAATAAAGTTAAAATATTGGATTTGTTCAGCTATTGAAAAAAAATGTGAAAAATTCAAAATAATAAATTAAAAATTTAAAAACTTTTTAACCTCCAAAGGAACTCTCCTTCAATTTTCAAAAAAAAATCAAACTTGCTCAATAAATTTGACACAAAAAAGTTGTAATACACAATAAAATGACTTAATTCCATATAATACAAATTTACAATTTTCTCCAAATTGTTCATCAAAAAAATCCTTCAAATTATATCAAATCCACATCCAAGTCACATAAATTGTGCCTCAATAATAAAAACTTATGATTCACACTCATCAGAACAAAGCAAGAACATCTTCAACATTAATTTTACGTCTTAATTCTGACACATCATTCAATTCATGACGTACGAAGCACTTTAAGGAGGAACAGCACATAAAAAAAATTAATAATAAAAATTAATGAAAATGTTGTCGTAGCTTAGACACTAAAATTCACTTGACCCATGCCAAAAACAAAGTCACACATGAAACAAATTATTAAACATGCAAAGCACAAACTCGCAAGCAGGCAGGCACAAACTAAGCAATAAAAAAAAATCAAATCAATTAGTCACAAAAGGAGACAAAGACGGAGAGAGAGATAAACAGTACACAAGTGTGCGCTGCTAAATGGCTTGTTGTAACTTAATAATCAGTTTCAATTGCATTGTCACCTGGATTGCATGTTTACTCGAGCGAAAAGGCTATTTATTAATTCCAACAATTTACCAATTACTCCATTTATGTTTGTGTGATTCACATACGTTTTGTGAGCCTGCTTATGCTCTAAACTTCTACATTTATTACTTTTTATGTGTGGGGATAATTTGGTTGTTACGTGACGTGAAAGTATGGAGTTATTCTATGATTTCAATGGCCTGTGCCTCCTTTCCTTAGCTTTAGAACAATAAACCTTATGTTGCACAGCTACGTTCAGCTGATTATATCAAGCACTTATTTCAAGGGCCAGCCCAAACGTATTAAGTATGTAAGCTACAGTCCAGTAGCTTTGGGATTCTCTAATTCACATTTCGTACAGCTTTAAGTCATATTAACAGCACAGCATAGTTTCAGACTCGCCTCTTGACACACAAACCAGCTATCTTCTCCTTCATACAACGAACCTTCAGTCAAATTACTTCTAACCTCCTTGTCACATAGTTTTAGACCCCCAATTCATTATCCTTCTTTTTCATTTAGATGTAAGGAACCCTTCTATTCATCTCATTACTAAGTCTCAGATCGAGTCTAATCCAACTCGTCACAAAGCCTCAGACCTCAAAGAGAATCATGAACATAATAACTGTACGACCCCTTATTCATTTCATCCACATCTTACTCGTATTTAAAGACAAAACAAGAACATAAAGAAAGAATTTTTTTGCTGCTGCTGCTGAATTCTACTCCTGAATATACATGCACGGGGGGATATATGCGCGGTAGTATGAAAAGAAGGCGAAAACGAAGAAGAAATTTGTTGCATTTTTATTGCCTCATTGTTAAAAAGGCCTAAAAAAGAAATGAAAAAGGCAGCACAGAACATGAGAGGAGAGAGAGAATGAGTCTCGGGGTCTTTATTGTGTGTTTAGTAACAATAAAAAGTATAAAGCATGAATAAAGCCACACGACTGGACTTCTTTAAAATACAAAAAAAAATGCCTTCCCGATTTATCTGACTTTGCCATCTGGGCAACAATAATAATAATAGTAGCAACAACAACAACAACAATCAAGATCATTCCAGGGATATTTCAACATGTTGTTATTTAACGATATTGTTGTGTTCTTATAGTCACAAGAAAAAACATTGGAAGTAAGAGAGAGAAGGAGAAAATACGGTAGTCAATTGGCTACTTACTTACTTACTTATTTGCTTGCTTAAAATCTGTTAAGGAAAACATAGTTAAGGGATGAAGTTATGTAGAAGAGGTAAAAGGGGTTTCAAATGCTGTCAATGCTTGTTGGTCTACTAAATGGTGTTGAATTTTTGTTGTGAATTGAGTTATGAAGCGCAGATTTGTGGTTTTGATGATTCTTAAATTGGATGAAAAATTAACAGTTTTTTGAAATTTGAAAAATTGTCGGTTCTCGAAAATTCAAATTTAACGGTTTTCAAAAATTCAAAATTTAACAATTCTCAAAAACTTTAATTTTTATGATTTCCAAAATTTGAAATTTTAACGGTTTTCAAAAATTCAAAAACATAATCAAATTTTAATGCAAAAAAATAAAATTCATTCAACAAACTTGAACATTTTAATAACAATAAACTAAAATTATAAATATTGAACCTAAACAATAGCCACTCTATCCCTCAAGCCACCCAGAACAGTACAGCATATTAAATAACACCACTTCAACATGTAAAAAGTGCGTCACATTCTTTCACTTCCGTGCATAATTTTTTCGCTACGTCCTCCGATCAAATTCAATTTCTTTATTACGTGTTACAGTTATGCCTCTTGTTACTCATTATAATGGTCAGCTGTCAGTGCTCAATATGAACCAGTTTAACTCGTTTAAGGATTTTTCTATTTCTACGAATTTGATTTTGCAGGGCAATTTTGCAACCCTCAAATAATTTTGAAAATGATTTTTATAGAGCTAAAGTAATTGATGATGAACACCATTCAGCCAGTATCTACCCACCCTTTTATATTTTGGCTATTTTTTTAGAAATTTTAAAAACTTTTTCAAGCGAAAATAAAAAAAAAATATTAAAAATTTGAAGCATTTTTGTGTATTTTAAGTCAGATGTTGGATGGAATGGGTTAAAAAAAAACTTTGTTGCCTGCATGAAGTCTCAACCTTTTTAGCAATTGGCAAAAATAAATAAAATCTCATCTCTCGTAACGGCAGTTGCTATAAAACCAATTTTTTTATATATTTATTTATTGTTTAAATTTAAGGACATTTTTTAAATGTTGCAAAAATGAGAACTGCAAATAAAAAAAGGGTTTTTTTTTGTGTGCCTAGTTCTGATTTATTTCTTCTTCACATCATGACACAACAGAAAAAATTTGCATAATTCACCTAGGTATAAAATGCATCTGCGTATTTCAACTCAAATTCCTTTTCATCTCAAAAATTATTTTAAAAAAAAAATTATACATAAAATAATTTCCATGCTTAAAAAAGGCCATAAATCTCGAAATAAAAATCATAGGGATAGGAAAATAAAAAACGGAAATGAAATAAGAGGTAAATTATGCAAATTAAGAAACGGTCTCAATTCAAGATTTGCGATGTGCAAATAATAATTTTTTTAAACAATCTATTGATGCATGAAAAGTTTAAATTTAATCAATTATCAAATGAATTTTTTATGATCTTGCAGATGAGAATTTTTTTTAGATATCGACATAAAGCATCATTTGCTCACTTTTGTGTTGATTCCTTTGTTATGCAAATTTTCTTTAAATTTTGCATAGCGGAAGGATTTATTGATGATAGTTTTTGGTTGATTTGATATTAAGGATTTGTCATTTATCATGGTGTCGAGTCGAGGGTTTGTTATGGGAAGTTTTGTGAATGGATTGAAGGGTAATGTTGACATTTAGCTGGATTTATGCTGAATTTTCATGAATTTTGTAAG